TTGGCCTGGAACCTATCAATTCCAAGCCCAGAACAATGCTAAAACCTTTAAAAATAGAACAGCATCCTTTAAAATGTGGGGTGAAGGACTTCTGGGAAAAGATGGTGGAGTGGGGAGCAGCAGAAAAACAGTCTCTCCAATATTTGGAATCTAGACTCTGGAACATAGCAAGGTGAAGAAGAGAAGGAAGGAAGTGTGTCCCTGGGACCCAGCAAGGATCTAAAGTGAGAATTAGATGCAAAAGAGGAAAAGAGAGGATCCATAATTAAAAGGAGAGGAGTGGTAAGTGATGCTTCCCCCCTGAGCCCTTTCTTGCACAGCTCAACTCTTCAGAGCATGGTGATAACTGTTGACACTACAAGTCTCCATGGAGAAATGCACAGTGGAATGGAACAGAGATGCTGTGGATTGCAATAGCTGGTGAGTTATTTGGGTTCAGATGTCCCCAGCAGAGAGTGCTTGCCTGGGAGCCATTTGGGGAAAGGGCAAACTAAAGTCAGGACTCAGCACAGTTTCAGGTTAGCTCCATCTAGCAGTTCCCAACATCAGCATGAGCACAACAGAATTCAAACCCACAGGATGCCAGGATTCTGAGTTCAAACCAGCAGAGAAGTTCCAACCTCAAAGCAAGAAACAAGAAACAGTCCAAACTTCAGTGGAACTAAAGGCCCAAGTGTCCTGGGATTGTTCATTATCTCTCCATAATTGTATGGCTGGCTTGATGGAGTCAGTAAACACAGACCTGGGTTCTGTCTGCTCCTTCTGTTTACCAGTGACAGCAAAGACATGTCCTAAAGCTTTGTATTCTGCTTTTCTTCCTTTCTTTTTTATTTTTTTAATAGCTTTTCTATTTTTTCTTTTTCTTGTTTGTTTTTGTCTTTATATAAGTAAGACTGTTGTTTCTGGTTGTTGCTTATTTATTTTACTCTGTTCTTTTTTATTTCTCTGTTCTTTCTTTCCATACCATCTATTTCACAAATTCTCAAAGTGGGCAGTCTTCTTCTGTCCTCTAGCCTTGGTTCTAATATTTTTTCTTCTGTTTCTATATTTTTAACCTTTATCCCTTATAAATTTTCTCCTCTAAGGGTAAAACTATCATATTGAGGGAGTATTTACTATATACAACTTTCTGGTTTGTTTTAGATTTGACTACATAACTATAAACAATTATTTCTCGAGTGACACACCAGGACTTGGCTGCAAAAATGACAGCTGTGGTGTACCGGACAGAACTTTCCAGAACATGTGGAGAGGTGGAGGAGAGGTGGCTGCTCAACCTGTGCATGGCTATGCACTCCTTCCTGCCTACTCCACTGCTGCCCAGCCCACTCACCACCTGTAAAAATGGTGCAAGAAACAACTTATTACTATGTTTTGGGGGTCAAACCCAATGCCACCCAAGAAGAACTAGAAAAGGTTTATAGGAAACTGACTTTGAAGTACCATCCTGATAAGAATCCATATGAAGGCAAAAAGATTAAACAGATTTCTCAACCTTATGAAGTTCTCTTTGATGACAAGAAAAAAGAATTATATGACAAAGGAGAAGAACAGGTAATCAAGGAGGGTGAAGCAGATGGCAGTTTTGGCTCTCCCATGGATACCTTTAATATGTTTTTTTGGAGGAGGGGGAAGAATACAGAGAGAAAGGAGAGGTAAAAACATGGTGTATCAGTTCTCAGTTACCTTAGAAGAGTTATATAATGGTGCCACAGGAAATTGGCTCTGCAAAAGAATGTGATTTGTGACAAATAGGAAGGCCTAGGTAGTAAGAAAATAGCTGTGGAATGCTGTCCCAACTGCAGAGGTATTGGAATGCAAATAAAAATTTATATATATAAAACTTTTGACCTCTCCTAGTTATATTGTTTTTCTCTTCTCTTTGGACCATGATAAGTGCTTGAGTTGTGACTTCAGAGCTTTGAAGTAACTTTGAAATTAAAGTGAAGAGACTACATAGAAAGGTAATTTGAATATGTAATATAAGAAGGTGCTCCATAGGTATGTTACAAGCTTACTTTAACTCATTTGACTTAATGCTCCAAAATAACTGTAATTCAATGGTAATAGTATAGCAAATTATGATGAGTAGCTTTACTTGTCTGTTTAAAAAAGTCATATGGCTCTTCCTGTGAGCAGCCTCAGGTGACCTGTGAAAATGGTTGGCTACTCTCTCAACCTGGAAAACTCCACAAAATCATGCAAATCAAGAGGCTCAAGTCTTCGCGTTCACTTTAAGAACATGCGTGAAACTGCCCAGGCCATCAAGGGTATGCATACATGAAAGGCCACCAAGTATCTGAAGGATGTCACATTAAAGAAGCAATGTGTACCATTCTAGCTTTGCAATGGTGGAGTTGGTAGGTGTGCCCAGGCCAAACAGTGGAGCTAGACACGGGGTGGGTGGCCAAAAGAGAGTGCTGAATTTTTGCTGCACATGCTTAAAAATGCAGAGAGTAATGCTGAGCTTAAGGGTTTAGATGTAGATTCTCTGGTTATTGAACATATCCAGGTGAACAATGCAACCAAGATCTGCCGCCACACCTATAGAGCTCATGGCCAGATTAATCCATACATGAGCTCCCCCTGTCATATTGAGATGATCCTTACTGAAAAGGGGCAAATTGTTCCTAAACCAGAGGAGGAAGTTGCACAGAAGAAAAAGACATCCCAGAAGAAACTGAAGGAAAAAAAAAAAAAAAAAAAAAAACTTATGGCACAGGAATAAATTAAGCATAAAATAAATGCAAATAAAATTAATGCTGGAAGCACCCCTGACTAGCATGCCACGCACTGCCGGCCTCCGGTGGGCCCCCGCCCACAGGGTAGCTGCTTCGCGGCCCTTGCGGCTGGGAGCGGAGGCTCTGTGCGGGCTGGGGGGGAATTGTGGGGCCCGGGTCACGGGGAGATGGCGGGCAAGGATGCTGCTGTGCCTGGTACTCCACACCTACTCCATGCGCTACCTGCTGCCCGGCGCCGTGCTGCTGGGCTCCGCGCCCACCTACGCGCTGCTGTGGGGCACGTGGCGCCTGCTGTCCATGCTGCTGCCCACGCGCCTGTACCAGCGCGTGGATGGACCACATCTACTGCGTGTACCAGAGCATGGTGGTCTTCTTCAAGCAGTACACCGGCGCTCAGATATCGGTATATGGAGATTTGCCAAAAAATAAAGAAAATATATTTAGCAAATCATCGCAGCACAGTGGACTGGATTGTTGCCGACTTCCTGGCCATGCGGCAGAATGCTGTGAGACATGTGCGCTACATGCTGAAAGACCAATTGAAGTGGCTTCCCTTGAATGGGTATGACTTTTCTCAGCACGGAGGAATCTATGTGAAGCGAAGTGCCAAGTTCAACGAAGGCGAAATGAAGGCCAAGCTGCAGAGCTACGTTAACGCGGGACGCCGATGTACCTTGTGATTTTTCCAGAGGGAACAAGGTATAATCCAAAAGTCCTTTACACTAGTCAGGCATTTGCTACTCAACGAGGTCTCCCAGTGTTAAAGTATGTGCTGACACCAAGAATAAAGGCAATTTACGTTGCTTTTGATTCTATGAAGAATTATATAGATGCCATTTATCATGTTACAGTGGTCTATGAAGGGAAGGACAAAGTTTGGCAAGTAGAAACCACGACCATGACTGAATTCCTCTGCAGAGACTGTCCAAAAATTCATGTTCACATTGATGGTATCGACAGAAAAGACATCCCAGAGGAGGAGAGTTCATGAATAGGTGGCTTCACCAGCACTTTGAGAAAAAAGACAAGTTGCTTATGGAATTCTATGAGTCACAAGATCCAGAAAGAAGGAACCAATTTCCCGGGAAAAGTGTTAATTCAAAACTAAGTCTCAAGAAGACTTTACCATCATATCGTTCCTGAGCAGCTTGACTGCCAGCCTGCTGATGATGGAGGCCAGGAGGAAACTATGCAAACGTGTGTCTTTGGCTGCCTGTGGGTCTCCTTCAGAGCTTGAGCAGTGGGCGTCCCTCATAGATGGCCACATGAAGGTGACATCCACTTGCTTCCTGAGCTTAGGAAAGAGTATAAATAAAGCCCTGTTGACTGAACATTGGGTAAAATGGAATTTATATAAAAGCCAGCATACATTTGATTTTGGACGAACATTGTTTTCAGCATTAGCGCAGGAGCTACTGAAAAGGTCAAAGCTAATTGGTGTTTATGCCATTCCTCCCATGTCCCTTGAACTGATATCCCTCTCAGACAACTGTTAGGTTGTGATTTGCTATTGCTCTATAATTCAGATGGCATATGTTAACATCACCTGGTAGCGGATTTCATTATGTTTGTTATTTTCAATGTCTGACACCTGACAGCTCTGAGCTCAGCACTGCAGCGTCTGCCTCACTGTGTAATCCTTGGCTTTCTGCTCAGTGTTTCCAAGTCAGGGAGTACAGTGCGTCTGAGTATCCAGACCCTCAAGGACACGGCAGGAAGTGCTCTGGGTGGAAGCTCTATTCAGTGTGTCTATTTACTGCATTTTTAGCTCGTTTTACTTCATATTTGTGAAATAATTAACATTTAATATATATTGAGATCACTTAATTTGCATACCCTTTAACCTACACAAAAGAATGTGGTAGAAAATGTCAAAATGAAGTTTAAGTTACTGATTCATTGTATGAGAACTATAAATTGCCTAGCTTTTGAAGGGTTAACCTGTGCTATTAGTAATTCCCAACATCTGTGCCATAAGTGCTTAAAATACTAAGGTTTCCTGTTATCGTTTATCTCAAAACAATCAGCATGAACCTTTCCGATAGATTCTGAGTTTCCGAGGTGGCGGGGCCTGCAGGCATTCTACCCAAAAGGATTAGTGTGTGCCTTGTGACTGCTTCTCTTCTCAAATGAAGCCACGCATCAGACGTGGAGGTCGTCTGTGTGCCGGCCCAGTAGCTTCCATCGCTCTCTGCCCTCCCTTGGGCTTCCTTAGCGGTGCTACCTCGTGTCCCCTGGTTCGGAGTCGCTCTCCCTGGCTCTGGGGCGTGAGCTTGCGAGCTGCTGCAGCAACATCTGGCACTCATCCCTGTGAGGAGTCGCCTTCTGCCGCTATCGGCCCTGAGCGGTCTGCTCCTTTCTCATTTGTCTGAGAAGAGCTGCCAGGTGACTGGTGTCACAGAAAGTGTGTTCCCTAAAAGGAGGAGGTCTGAAATCTTGCTCTGCTCCGGTTTATCTTAGAGTGTGAACATGGTTATCTGCAGTCGTTTATAATAACTTTTCAGCTAACTACTACTTAGGGGCTTTTTTGATTTTTTTTTCCTCAAAATTACGTCTGACTCAGATGAAGTGCACGAATTGACTCATAAAGAAAATGAAAGAATTGAAGGAAATCGTGTCTGTTTTATTGCTTTCCTAAACAGAAAACAAGCCATCTCTTGCAGTCCCCTTGGAGAGTCAGGTGGTGAGTCTGTGTACCCAGGATTCATAACCACCTCCTCACACAGAATGCAGTTAACCTGACTAAGGGTGGGGAATAGGTCAAACTTGTTTAAAGTGCTCTCATGACAAACTGTAATTTTCTCTTTCCAGAAAAATGAAATTTAGATCAACCCCCGGTCTCTATTAAATACATTTTTTACAGTGCTAATTTTAGAGCTTATTTCTGACAAAATCAAAATAAATATAAGCTGTGATACTTTGAATATCATGGATATGGTCCAGTTTTAGATTTTGAGGTGCTATATCATTAGAATTATATGGCTTATAACTGAACTTGGCAAGGCAAAGTGACCTGCATGAAGTTACCTAAGAAATGTTTCTTATGTCTCTGCTCCTACACATCTCATAAAAGGTTTATAACATAACAGTGTGAAAAAAATTTACATCAAAACAAAATTTGTCTTTCGTGTATTGATTTTGACTTAAATTATCCATCTTCTAAAATTAAAATCTCTGCCTACTCATGAATCTTTTCATAAAATATCATTTAAGCTTTGTTTGTATTGTTCTTCTTGGTTTATAACTTACTTCTTATTTAACTGTTCTTTTTTTTTTTTGAGCTATGTCCCTGACCCTTTTTTATTTATTTATTTATTTATTTATTTATTTTTTGCAGAAACGGGGATTGAACTCAGGCCCTTGCGCTTACCAGGGAAGCACTTATTCTACTGAGCCATCTCCCCGGCCCCTCCCTGACCCTTCTTCTTTTTTTTTTTCCCGACTCTTTTCAAAAGAATTTAAAATTTTTATTTATTTTTTGGAACCACGAATTGAACTCCGCATCTCATGCTTGCCAGGCAGGCATCAGCCTCTTTTTCTTCTCTCTCTTGCTTTTCGTGTAGTACTGGGGATTGAACCTGGGACCTTATGCTTGCCATACAGGCACTTATGCCACTGAGCTATCTCCTTGGCCCCTAAATGTCTCTCAAATGGCATCTGTTCAGAAAAAGCTTCCAGAGATCACAAACCAGAAAAAGCATTTTTTTCCTAACTTATAAACACATAATTTGTTTAGGAGGAAGAGAAACAACTTGGAATAGATCAAAGTACACCTTCACGTTAATCATTCTTTTCATATACTTCAAATTTGTACTTAATGCCTTTCTCCTCCTGGACCTCAGAAAACACACCTGGGTATTTTGGGAGGAGCCTGTATTTCTTCAAATCAATTTCTGGAAAAAATGTGTCACTTTCAAATTCCTGCATGATCCTTGTCAAGAACAGTTTGACATGGCCTGGCCGATCCATGGCTTCCTTGTAAACGGCCCTGCCACCCACAACCCACACCAGGTCCACCTTGCTGGCTAATTCTGGCTGCTCGATAAGCTTCAGGGTGTCATCCAGACTTGGGGCAAGAAAATGAGCTCCTTGGGGAGGTTCCTTGAGTTCTCTACTGAGTACTATATTAATTCTGTCTTTCAAAGGGCGATTCTTCTCAGGAATGGAGAACCAAGTCTTCCTACCCATTACCACCAGATTCTGTTTACCTTCCACTGAGGTGGTTGTGGTCATTCTCTGAAGTAGTTGAATTCATTCCTTTCCCAAGCCCCGCGAAGTCTCGGCGTGCTCGCGCCCGCACGCTGGGCCACCCGCGCATCTGCCGTTCGCCCGGCCTCTCAGCCCTGCGATGTCGCGCCGAAAGCCGGCGTCGGGCGGCGTGGCAGCTGTGGGCTCGGCATCCGGGAGGCAAGCCGTTTTGAGCCGGTTCTTCCAGCCCGCGGGAAGTCTGAAATCTATCTCATCCCCCACCGGCGCCGCCGACCAGGCCGACCTCGCCTCCACAGCGCCCCCAGCGCCCGCCTCTAACTGTTCTTTATAAGACCACCATTGGGGTGTGTGTTAGTGTTTTTCAGCAAAGGGTGTATATTTGGCAAAGGGTGGATTTGGAGGGAAGCAATAAAGTAAAATAAAATCTGTAAAAAAATTAAATTAATGTTGTCTATTAGTAAACAAAAATAAATAAAAGTCATATGTTCACATGTTTATTCTGAGTATCAGAATTTAAGCAATTGTTAAGATGTATGAATGTCTTCTTAATATACTGATTGTGAAGCAAAAAATAAATAAATCATTATTTTTGCCCACAAACACAAACCATAATATGCACCTGAAAATAGCAGGAGTATTCTCTGTTTACACTTCTGAGTTAACTGTACTACTTTCCCACTGGTTGATAACACCAGAAACAAGGGAACTTCTTGCCATGTTCATTCAACAAAACTTAAAATTCTGAATATTCTTGAGGCTAAAATACATTTACAAATTGTATCCTCCATGTCACTTCCAATATTTTATTTCCTCCTCATGAGTGCTTTAAAATACCTACAATCTATGTTTCTGTTTCAGTCAGCTGATTTTCTACTTTAGATCTCATGTTGTTCCCACTTGATCTCTGACTCTCAGATGTGACTCCTTCTCTTGCTTTTCTATAGTACAGTTTTGACCGTGAAACGTATCTCTTCAGATGTCTTTGAGACTCCCTATTGACCCATACAGCAAAAATGTTTGGAGTAACATTCAAAAGCTAATTATACTCTGAGCTATCTTTTCAGACTTATTTTTAACTAAACTTTATCATGAAATTAAAACTGTAATAGCATTGGGGTTTTTTTTCTGTTTTCAAAACATATCTGTGGTAGGCTCATCAACAGCATTCACTGTCCATCTTACAGTGCAGCTGAGTGACAATAGGTGGTCATAGCACTTGTCTTTGCTGAAAAATTCATGTAACCTCATTACATTTTGAAAAGCAAACCTGAGCAAAAGCATTATTAGAAAAATTTCTGAGGATATTTTGAACAAGAACCAAAGAGAGTAAAGTAATTCATAAGAGAAAAACTTCAGAAAGAAAAGAGATTCAGGCTGTTTTTCTATACAGCTCCCTCCTTTGTTTTTCCAAAGGTTTTATTGTACCTTTATAAAGACTATATTTCTAACCATACTCTCATAGTTGGCTTTATTTAAGGTCTAAAACTGAATGGCTTGGCCTGAAGACGTGAATGAAGTGAATGCAAGAACTTGGATTTCATTAAACTATGCATATATATGTTTGCCTCCACTTTCATCTTGTAAATTTCCTTGAAAGCATAAATTACACTTGAAAAAAAGTAATCTGTTTAAGCAATTGACTTGTCTTCCATACAGCTTCATCATATATTTTTCCTGTGATTTCTATTTTATGTAGGGAGTGGCTGAAGGTGGAAACTTGTTACATGTGTGATGGTAAGACAAGGCCAGAGTGCCTAAAGCAACGAAGCTCCCTCAGTCCTGAGAAAAACATGTTGCCTGAGATAATTCCAGTTGTTAGTTGCTAGGTCACCCTGTGTCACATGATACTAACTTTGCCAAATGTATAAATAAGTGTCTCTATGGTGGTTTTTCAGTTCCTTTCCTCCCGCTAAGAGAGAAAGCTCCATCTGACCCCAGATTTCATCTCTTGTCTGTATTTCTTCATCCTCTTGCTGTTTTTCCACAGGAACTTTAAGAGTCATGCTGGTTCACAGCAATTTTAATGCTATCTCTGTTCTATTTTCTCAATCCTTCATAGAACAATCACCTGGACAAATAAGTTGGTACTATCCACATTCTTATCTCCTATACAGCCCCTATTGTCATTGGCCCAACACATGCTTAAAAGAGCTTCTCAAACCTAATCAATCATTTCCTGATCAGAAGACTAAAGGAATTAAAACTTTGGAAAATATGTGTTCCTTTAGATATCTCTTCTCATACTATACAGCAGTTGTTGAATATGGCCTCTTTCCCATAACACAACATTGAACAGGAGACACATTTAGTGTGGCTCATGCCATTCTGTCTTTAAAACTCTCTCCCACTGCAGTCACTTAGGACATGCAATTGATGTCTAAAAGAAAATCATGCCAGCCTCTGTCTTAAGGTTCTTGTTCTAATTATTGTTTCATTTTAAAGAAGAGAGAAAACAAATAAACACAAATATATCTAACAACAATAAATCTATGAAACAAAATGGGATGATGTGGTAGAGTGACTATATTAGATATTTTGTGTACAGTATAGAAGTGAGACAATTAAGTACTAGTATATTTGATCTGTGACCTTAGTGAGATGTAATTTTGGAACTATCTGAGGAAGGAATATTTCTGGTTCAAGGAATAACTGTTTTAGTGGCTAAAAAGGTAGGAATGAGCTTGTCATATTCAAGAAATAAAAACAACAAAGTGAGATGATAAAGATTGGGAGAAGAGATTGGAGGTGGAAAAACAATCAAAATTTCAGTGTTAAGTATATAAATGAGTTGTTTATGACATACAGGATAAAATATAATAGGTAGCTCATGTGTACATGTTTGAGCTATGTCAGGATAAAATGATTGATAACCTCAGGACTAAGAAAAGACATGCAGAGAAAATTTGTAGAGGAGAAAAGAGTAGAGAAAAAGGGGAGGGAGAGGGTTCACCTGTCTCCACTGAGCTCTGGCCGCTATATCTATTGCCATTTTATAATCACTAATAAACAGCAAACCCCCTTTTCCTATGCTGTTGTTTGTACAAATTATAGCATTTACCTGTGAGCCACTGTGTTTATTTTCTCTAACACAAATGTTTCCAATGACTTCTTTCTTTACATTAATACTTGCC